AGCATAACAAGTCTTATTTACTTTCTAGTCATTCACAGTCTATCCATATTTTACTTGTCTAATATATTAACGAAAACAACTACACTTCTCATTTACTCTTACCAACAATGAGAAGATTCATGATACAAACTGAGAGCCTTAAATAGTATACTTGTACTTTAAAATCCACAATCTGATATTTTCAAATATTTTTCTTTACATCTGTGTTTGTCACTGTTTTCAATAACAGAGCTTCCAGAACTATTTTTCTCTTATCTATCTATCTTATATAACTTTAAAAATTAATGTATTGAGAAATTATATCAATTGCATACTTATTCAACCAAAAGCACATACTAAGAACTGTGTCATGTCTTTCTCTTATTTCTCAAAATCTATCTAGGCTCTTACAGTCTTAACTCTAAACTGTCATTGAGTAAACAGGTAATGAGGGCAGCTAAAAGAATATAGCAGCTACATTCATATGCTTTACGATAAAGGTATTTGTGACAAAGAACTAACTGAACATTGAAAGGATAAAACAGTCATACACTGTGTTTTATCACACAAGTGCCGACACATAAAATTCCTAACAATTCCACAAAGTATCAAAAGTGATGACTTTATACTTTAGGTTTTTCTGCAATATTTTTCAGCAGGATCATATATTTTCATTATTGTTATTTTCAAATACAAGTGAATATGAAGAGTGGGAAAAAGAGATACCATGCAAATGAAACAAAAAATGAGCTGGAGTAGCTATACTCCTATCAAATAAAACACATGTTAAATTAAAAACTAAAAAAAAGAGATAAAGAAGGATATTAGAGGCCAGTGCTGTAGCACAGTGAGTTAATGCCCTGGCTTGAAGTGCCGGCATCCCATATGGGCGCTGGTTCGAGTCCCAGCTGCTCCAGTTCCCATCCAGCTCTCTGCTGTGGCCTGGGAAATCAGTAGAAGATGGCCCAAGTTCTTGGGTCCCTGCACCCACGTGGGAGACCCGGAAGAAGCGCCTGGCTCCTGGCTTCGGAACAGTGCAGCTCCAGCCATTGTGGCCAATTGGGGAGTGAATCAATGGATGAAAGACCTCTCTCTCTCTCTATCCCTCCTCTATCTGTGTAACTCTGACTTTCAAATAAATAAATAAATAAATATTTTTTAAAAAAGATATTATATAATGATAAGAGCACCAATTTAACAAGAATATATAAAATGGTAACTACATATGCACCCAACCCAAGATCACTCAGATATATAAAGCAACTATTATTAGACTTAAATGGAGAGATAGACTCCAATATGGTAACACTCATGAGCTTCAACAACCCACTGCCATCAATGAACAGAGCATCCAGACTGAAAATTAACAAAGATATATCAGAGTTGAACCATACTATAGAACAAGTGGACTTAAAAGACACTCAACAATTACAGAACACACATTTTTCTCATCAGCACATAGAACATTTTCTGGTAAACCATATGTTAAGTCACTAATAATGTCTCAGCAAATTAAATGAAATTATACCATATATTAAAAAGATTTTATAATGAAAATAAAAAGATTTTAAAATGAAATCATACCATATATCTGCTTAGAACACAAAGGAATAAAGCTAGAAATCAACAACATAAACAATGAAAAATTTACAACTACATGGAAATTAAACAAGGAAATTGAATTGAATGACCAATTGATCACTGAAGAAATGAAAGGGGACATTAAAAACTTTCTTGAAGCAAATTAAAATACAACATCAAAATCTGTAAAACACAGCAATAGCAGTATTAAGAAGTAAGTGCATAACAGTAAGTGCTTACAATAAAAAAAGAAAAGTCACAAATAAATGATCTAATGATGCATCTTAAGGACTTAGAGAAACACCAAATCAAACCCCAAATTTTCAGGTGGTACGAAATAGTAAGAATCGCAGCAAAAATAAAAGAAATTGAAACAAAAAAATAACAAGATAAACAAAATGAAAGGGAGCACATAAACAAGTCTAGTACCTGCTAATACTAACGGATAGAATAAATAAAGGGGAGAGTGATCCAACATGGGAAGCGAGATACTCAGCAGACTCATAGAATGGCGGATGTCCTAAACAGCACTCTGGCCTCAGAATCAGCCCTAAAGGCATTCCGATCTGGCTGAAAAGCCCATGAGAGTATTTCAGGCATGGAAAGCCAAGACACCCTGGCAAAAAAACAAAAAAAAACAAAAAAAAAACAAAAAAAAAAACAAAAAAAACAAACAAACAAAAAAAAACAAACCCTAAATGAAAGATCTCTGTGAGTGAGATCCCAGTGGAAAGAACAGGTCTTCAAAGAAGGAGGTACCTTTCTCTGAAGGGAGGAGAGAACCTCCACTTTGACTATGACCTTGTCTAAACAAGATAAGAGTCGGTGAACTCAAAAGGCTTCCATAGCCTTGGAAACTCATGACTGGTGCATAGGGAGATTACTGATGCCATAAACAGGAGTGTCAATTTGTAAAGTCAACAACAGGAGTCACTGTGCACTTACTCCTCATGTAGGATCTCTGTCCTTAATGTGCTGTACATTGAGACTTAATGCTATAATGAGTACTCAAACAGTATATTTTGCTTTGTGTTTCTATGGGGGTGCAAACTGTTGAAATCTTTACTTAATGTACACTAAACTGATCTTCTGTAAAAAAAAAAAAATAAGAAATTATTAACTCCCAACTTGACTCTCGCTGGGATTAAACATGACAATAGGTCTGATGTGATTTCATCATCATTTAAAAAATCATCTATTATTTTTCACTTTATGTTTGTGTGGGAGCTAACTGTTGAAATCTTTACTTAATGTATGCTAAACTGATCTTCTATATATAAAGAGAATCGAAAATGAATCCTCATGTGAATGGAAGGGGAGAGGGAGTGGGAAAGGGGAGGGATGCGGTTGGGAGAGATGTTATGGGGGGGAAGCCATTGTAATCCATAAGCCGTACTTTGGAAATTTATATTCATTAAATAAAAGTTAAAAAAAAAGAATATAAACAAAACAAACAAACCTTCACCTAGACTAACAAAGAAAGAACTCAGATAAAGAGATGAAAAATGATATATTACAGTGACATTACATAAAGGATTATAAGAAACTATTATGAACAATTATATGCCAATAAGTTGGAAAATCTCAAACAAATGGATAAATTTCTAGATATGCCTAACCTACCAAGATTAAATCAAGATACAGAAAATCTAAGCAGACTCATAACAAGTAAAAACATTCAAGCAGTAATTTAAAGTCTCCCATCAAAAATCCAGAACCTGATGTTTTACTATTGAATTCTAACAAAACATTTAAAGGGGAACTAACGTCAATACAATACTGAAAAGGACGAAACTCTGTCAATCTCTTTCTTATTGGGGGAAATATGATTTGTGGAACACGATTTTACTAGGAGCTCGAAACTGTAGTTTGAATGGACTAATGATTAATGATTATTCATGTAAAAATCTAGTAAGCTTATTATTTATAAATGAATAACGAACCAATACCTTCACTTGGTGACTATAATTTCCTCTTAAAGGAAATATGTATTATTTACTTCAATATGAGCAGAAAATTCCAGAAAATCCTGTGACATATCAAAAGAAGACTTGAGATATATGACTACCTACCTAATAACGGGTAGTCAACAAATACTTGTGGAATGAATGAATAAAAATTATAAAAGTATTCTCATTCAGGCCTGTACACTGCAGGTTTATAATATAATAGAGGAGAAAAGCAAACGTGCAAATACTTTCAATATATGATAGTTCAAAATAAGTGTCACCAAAGTAATGTATCTCAGAAGTGATATTAGTACACACTGTATACATGTATGGATATGTTACACTGTATTCCATAAATAGGTACAATGATTTATAAAATCTTTTAAAAATCATTATTCATGTGATAAAAATGTCCATGAACAGAAAATAACAACCAAAATAAGTATGTCCCTAATTTTAAGGATAATGTCAATTAAGACTTTATACACATAATTACTGTATTACCAAAAAGGTATAGGGAAATAAGACATGTAAGAAGGCATGTGATGATTGCTCTTTTGGGACCAAAGGAGGGAGGTATATAGCCATGAGGGACAAGTGAGTGGAGCAAGTGGAAAAGAGTGAAAAACAACTTTCCTTCTGCTCAGCTACCACTGAGCAATTCTAGTCTAGGACTAATCAGCAGGCATCTTGTCTTTCCCCTCACTGAAAATGATCAATTTGAAAACTGGAAAGGAAGGAACACAGTCTTCCAATTAAATCCACTCATTCTTACAATAAAAGGACTGTAGGCTTTACTACTTGAACTTTAGGCAACTTTATCCACAAACACGTCAGATGCACCACATCAGTTTACATATTTGTGAGAGAGTTATCTTCTTGGTTGTGCAGAGAAAAACAAGAATCAAAGTTTAAAAAACATACAAGGCACATAGTGACTCTAGTCCCATGTTTGCTTTATGGGAACCCTATATTACTACCTCACAGTTTTTATTTAATACATTTAAAGTTATTCTGAAATAAAATATTAAAAACACTATATGTCCATATTATTTAAAATCTACTTCCATTTGATTATCAAGTTAATTTCACACCTTCTTTAAAAGTTACTGACAGATTTTCCCTATCTACAGATTTTTATAAGTCCTGAGGAATAAGGAAATAATTTGATTTTTAAAAGTCATATGAACAGTAATTGTTCATTTTTAAAAGAGAAGTGCCTGAATTATACACATGATGCTAAAAAGATTTTCATAATCATTAATTCCTAAATGTTACCTACTGTTCTTGCTTATTTTGGAAAACCTAGAATAATTTTTGAAGTCATGCCCCACATTGTTGAGATTCTACTTAAAGGTGCATGACAGTCACAGCTCAATTATAAAGATTCAAAAGCTATCAAGTAATTTCATAATCCAAAAGCCTACAGAAGGAATTTGAGATTTCCATTCCAGACACATAATGTTATGTTAACATGAGAAGAACTCTTACCATAAGTTGGAGTGCTTTCTCGTCTTCCTTGACTACTTGATCTTCCTTTCTCATATTCATAGCAGTACAAAACAGTATCTTCTTCAACAATGTTAAATCTTTTTCGATATTCCTGATCCAGAAATGAATTTGGTGACTCAGATCCCTTATGCACTGGCTTGCCCACCATATGTCCTCTAAGGTCTTCACAAGGCAGGTTTCCTTTTTCATCCCTAATGCAAGGTTGGAGTAAGGAGAAGCATGAGGAGAGGGTTAGGGTGGTAAAAGGGAGAAGCTCTAAAATACTAATATCCTTCCTATATAATATATCTTACATTGTTTTCAAACTTTCCTTGAGGTTTATAGGACAATTTTTAATTATTCCTATTTTACCAAAAATCTCACTGAGGCTCAGAGAGGTTAAATGGCTTGCTTCCATATAACACAGCTAATAAAAGACAATTCTGGACATGCTCACATATGGTAACAGGTGATTAGGCTCAAAATGAGTGGTATTTTGACAGAAATGTTCCATTTAGGATTGACTAAACTAAATCTAATTTCGTGAAATGTTTCACTGATTAGTTATGAGATTTTATATAGAAAAGATTATATTCTAGAATATAACTATAAATGTAAATGCAATGCTTCCATCATTGTGCACTACTACTAATATTTCTTCCTAGTTCTAAATTGTTTCCAATTCCCTGAAGTAACACCATGAATCAGTGTTATCAATCAGAAAAAAAAAATTGTTAGGTGCTAAGAATAAAATGCGAAGCTTACTGAATAAACTGAATTATAACAAGATAGATAAAAGAAAATTTTAATTAAGTCCTCTGACATCTTAAAAATGTGATGAGCTTATTAAAGTAATGTCAATTCTATATCATGACTCTTACCCAGAAAAAAAAAATCTGTGCTTTTCAATCTGTGTGCAAATGTTTAGATTAGGTTTGTCCAAATGTAAAGAACTGTAGTCCAAGTATTTGAAATCTGTAGAAAAGAGTAATGTTCTCAAGACTCACTGGATTATCAAGTTGTCTTATCTATGTAACCTACCACAAGTTGAGGTTGCCATTTACATTAATATTTTCTAAAATAAAAACATCTAAAAATATAACTACGTAATTATAAAACTAGTTCTTAGGCAACTTGAAGAAAATCAATATGAAATTCAGAAAGAATTTTAACTACTGTAACTGAAAAACTTTCCTGGAAAAATTGCCTGGTCCAAAAGAAATCAGAGGGTAATTCAGCTGTATTAATTCACTGTGCTATAATTATAGAGGTACACTTTTTGCTAGGAATTTGGAAAGACTGGTACTTTTATTCTATATGACATCAATAAGTGGCCTTATATCAAGAAGGTAGATTAAACATTTCTATAAAGAATACACTTAAATGACATTGATTTTAAAAAAAAGCACAAAGCTAAAGTTTACAGTAGAATGAATTGCTAAATGCATTGTGTATATAAGTGTGTGTGTGTATGTTCATGTATGTACATCTCATGAGTCCCTGAAGAACTGTATGTATTGATACATCTTTCTGAAAAGATTTTCTAAGCTGTTATTAATGTTACACATTTATACACTTATATAATATATCTACTCTTTTGTTCTAGAAAGGATTTAAGGGAAGATTAAAACAGTGTTTTGGCCGGCGCCGTGGCTCAATAGGCTAATCCTCCGCCTAGCGGCGCCGGCACACCGGGTTCTAGTCCCGGTCGGGGCGCCGGATTCTGTCCCGGTTGCCCCTCTTCCAGGCCAGCCCTCTGCTGTGGCCAGGGAGTGCAGTGGAGGATGGCCCAAGTGCTTGGGCCCTGCACCCCATGGGAGACCAGGATAAGTACCTGGCTCCTGCCATCGGATCAGCGCGGTGCGCCGGCCGTGGCGGCCATTGGAGGGTGAACCAACGGCAAAGGAAGACCTTTCTCTCTGTCTCTCTCTCTCACTGTCCACTCTGCCTATCAAAAAATTAAAAAAAAAAAATAAATAAATAAAAAAATAAAAAAACAGTGTTTCTTTGGTGGGCTTTCTTTTTATTTACTGGTACACAGTAGACTGATAAGAGAAATTAGTGCTTAAGCTTTAAAATTGTTTAAAGACCTACAAATTCTTTATTTTCATTACAGAAAAAGAAACTTGGTTAGGTACAAAAATGCACTATATATTATGATAGTGAGACTTTTAATAGTCATAAAACAAATAATACCAACCAAATTTCACTCATTTCACACACATGAGTGTTTTCTCTTTCAGAGAAAAATGCACGTTTTGTAATTACTTTTTTTTCTGGAATCTATATGTTCAAGAAATTGTAATCACATCAAAAAAAATTCTACTTAACATGAAAACCAGTCCTGTGAATTTTAAGACTTCATTTTTAAGATGAGAAAGCTTGTCTAACAATGCAAATTAAACAAATAACTCATACATACATGTTCACATACTAAAATGTTAATACTGTTTTTTTAAAGATTTATTTATTTATTTGAAAGTCAGAGTTACACAGAGGAGAGACAGAAAGAGAGAGAGGTCTTCCATCTGATGGTTCACTCCTCAAGTGGCTGCAATGGCCGGAGCTGTGCCGATCCAAAGCCAGGAGCCAGGAGCTTCCTCTGGGTCTCCCACGTGGGTGCAGGGGCCCAAGGCCTTGAGCCATCTTCTACTGCCTTCCCAGACCATAGCTGAGAGCTGGATCGGAAGTGCAGCAGCCGCGTCTCGAACCGTTGCCCATATGGTATGCCAGCGCTTCAGGCTAGGGCATTAACCTGCTGTGCCACAGCACTGGCCCAATACTATTTAACAAAGCTTTTTAATGAGAGGGAAAAAACGTGTAGGGGTTGCTGTTGTGGTGTAGTGGGTAAAGCCGCTGCCTGAAGTGCTGGCATTCCATATGGGCAACAGTTCGAGACCTGGGCTGCTCCACTTCTTATCCAGCTAGAGGATGGACCAATTTCTTGGGCCCCTACACCCATGTGGGAGACCCAGAAGAAGCTCCTGGCTCCTGTCTTTGGATTGGCCCAGCTCCGGCTATTGCCAGCCATTTGGGGAGTGAACCAGCAGATGGAAGACTCTGTCTTTCTCTCTCTGTGTCTCTCCACCTCTCTGTAATTCTGCCTCTCAAATAAATACATATTTAAAAAAATTAAAAAATGTGTACAAGAGTTATATTGAGTCTACCACATTCATTTTCATAATGAGAAAATTGAAAAAAAAAAGAATGGTAAACCTATATTAAAAAAGAATGATAACTACAGCAACTTTTATGATTATAACTTTAAGTCACACCAGAAAACCCAGATAATTTACATAAGACTATGGTTGAAAGGGTCTTTGATGCATGGATGGTTTCAGTTCTTATATTAAAAGACTGTGTATCTGCTTCATTAACAATTTGAACCAAAAGGTATTTAGAATATTATATTAAATTATACACTGAGAGCACCAACTAAGAATCAGTTAAAGCGAGGTAGTAAACACTAATTATGAATTTTACTGAAAAGTATGGGACTTTTAAGCAATACTAACAGGGACCACTTTGTTGACATTTCAACCTCTTACAATTTCCTATATTTCTAGATAGCATGTTCAAGCTTTCTATTAACTTCAATATGCTTCCTTAATAATATTTTTACTACACCTAAAGCATAGAACTGGATCATTTTACTCTTTTGTTCCTGTAAGCATACTTTAAATACTTTCTGTCTATCCCACACTTTCTTTATAACAAATTGCTTCCTATTGAAGAGAAGAAAGAAAATAACTACAGAATTTCGCAAAAATAATCTTTTGATGTTTATTTATACATATAGTCCTCTTATTCACTAATGTTGTCCTTTATATAATCATTTGCACTGAAATAAAAATTACTTCAATTAAAATGAAAACAAAACATGAAAGAGTTGCTTCCTATTTGTAACACATAGGCTTTCCTTGGTATTCATGCAAAAGTATTCAGAGTGTGTGACACTGTCTTAATAAAATTAAAATGCAATTTACATTTCATTAGGATATTGGATGGATTGTACATCTGGCTATAAATGATACATATAATTATATATTATAGTTATGAAATGCCAGGTTAGTGAATTATATTTTTCCTGTAAATCATTTGTCTATAGCTACATTTAATTGTTAAAAATAGTAACTTGATATATAAAATTGATTATTATTTTATCACCTGATGACAACAAAGTATTTTCAGATATGTTATTTTGCTATAGTTTTTAGACAATGTAAGTATAATCATATTTAACAGAATAAATATTTCTGAAATACTGGGTACACTAAAGAATAATGAATAGTAATTAAACAATGGAATTCAGTTCTTTCATATGCTGAAGATAAATTTAAGTATGATTTAAAGTTAACAGATCTTAAATTTTTGTTTTTGAGTGACTAGAGAACTAATTTAATAACTGAATCAAATCCCTTGTAGTTGGTTTTAATTATCCTCATTTAGTGCTGGCCTTTTTCCATAATTTTAGTATTCCATAAAGTTGTACATCAAAATGCTTTTGGAAAGAATGCAGCATGGCAGAGAGCTGTATTCTTGCAAACAAATAAGGAATTCCAAATAAAAATTTGGAAATGATATGCAGATACAGCCTTAAGAAATCCAGAAAATAGCTATTAAAGACAATTCTTTGTTTTGTAAACTGTATTTCCTAAAAGAAATATTATTGAACTAATAAAGTCAAAACTCTAGATGCAAAAATATTGAGGGAAAACTATGCTCCTTCATCATCATTAGTATCGTTATATAAAAAACTATCCATTATCTCCATTTAAGAAAACATAAAAGTTATCCATAAGTTTTGCTTTAAAAAATTAAGAAGTGCTTCAAATTAACCAGGATTTCCTGGGACTTCTTAGCCAAAGAGCCTCACTTTTTCTTTACTTATTAAAATAATCCCAATTGATATTTAACATTTCTTTTCTAGTGTATGAGATAATAGGAATAAGATACTTAATATATAGTGCTTACTATAAACTGTTATTATTAACCAAGGTGCATTATCTATAATGGGAATGGATTTCAAAATTCCTAGCTGAGAAAATATTCAAGACAAACCTTGAGAATGGACTCCATAGTTTATAGCTGTTAGGGTAATCTTTAGCTAGATGTAATCTAAAACATGATGGTTAGCTTTATACCTTGGTATATACGGTTCTGCAGGAGGAGGGGGAATGTAGAGATCCTGGAGGGCAGAACTGTCTCTTTTGGTGGGTGTACTGATGGTGCTGGAAGGCGTAGCAACGCTGCTTGTGGGACTTCTAGGTATAAGAGGCTGGTTAAAATGAAAAAGAAAATACATACACACACAAAAAACACACAAAACAACAACAACGACACATAGTTATCATTTTAAAATAGGCTATTTCTGCAAAGTTTCTGAACTTGGCTGAAATTAAGAAGCATGTCATTAGTGTATATGAGTAGTCCTTTGAATCTCTAAAAACAAGTATTACAGGTTTGCACTTAGTTCCCAACTCACCTTTTCCTATGCACTAACCAACTAAAAGGTGTTTATAAGGTAAAAAATACCACACAGTATTTCACAATAAGAAGATTTACATTACAGTCAGAAACTTAATTAAATTAACTTTGTCAGAATCCTACCTTTGAAAGAAAGAAAACAGAGTAACTCTGAAAAGAATTGGCTCACTCACATCCTGGCTGATGCATGACAAGATTACTTCAGGTATCCCAAGAAAAGACAAACCATACTCCCAGGTTAGCAGAATGTCATAGATTGTCAGCAAAGTTTATAAAAATAGAGGGATTGGCGCTGTGGCTTAGTAGGTTAAGCCTCTGCCTGTGGTGCCCCATATAGGCACCAGTTTGAGTCCCGGCTGCTCCACTTCTGATCCAGCTCCCTGCTAATGGCCTGGGTAAGCAGTGGAATATGGCCCAGGTCCTTGGGCCCCTGCACCCACGTGGGAGACCTGGAAGAAGCTCCTGGCTCCTGGCTTCAGATTGGCCCACTCTGGCCATTGCGGCCATTTGGGGAGTGAACCAGCAGATGGAAGACACTTATCTCTGTCTCTCCCTCTCTCTGTCTGTAACTCTGGAGTATGAAAGGTCAATAGAAGAGAGCATTTTCTAGGAAAATGTACTTTTCTTGTCATTGTAAACAGTTAATTGTCCTCTTAAGTCATTTTATGGTACATCTTCAAAGTATGGTGATTAATGTGAAACAATCATTTTACCTTTCATAGGCACATACATATTTATAATTTAAAATAATCTTAATTATTTTTCTATAAATCTCATCTTCATGCCTGTATTTATGTATTAAATAGGAGGGGTTTTATTTAATGTATATACTGAATTAAGTAGTACATCAGGATGCATTAACTTAAGAGCACTCCCAATTGCAAACTTCACAGCATTTGAGAATAATCTTGTGGCTTAAGAAATTATCCTAAAGTGAAACTAAAGTTCACAAACTTGTATGTTTCTATTACAGATCTTACTGATTAGCTATGCATACAATTAACATATTAAAAGTAAAACTTTCAATGCAATGCAGAACACCAAAATAACGATCACAAAATCAACTGTATCTTCACATGACACAATGTCGCCATTTTAACCAGTAGGAAAATACTTTGAGCATATCTATATAGACTCATAGTTCTATTACTTTAACACGCATTGCTGGACACTCAAATACTGGTATATTACAACTATTTTATATTGTAACAATACTTTTGTACAGATAAACAAATTTTTTTCCAAAAATCCAAGCATAAATACAATGGAAAGTACAATGTAGGTCACTGTGGTAGGCTACATAGTTTAGTCCTTAGTTCACGATTTTGACCTTCCTTGTTAAACACAGCTCACCTTAATAGCTTGAAATCACACATCCTGCCAAAATGACGGTTAAGTTTTAATCTATGTGAAATAGAAATTAAAGAAAGAGAGAGAGAAGGGAAAAAGGAATGATAATATATTTTGGGACTTTACAATATTCCACTTCACATTATGTAAATAAAAAAGTCAGAAGCTTTACATGTTAGTTGAAGAATTTTAGATGTTATGAAAGTATGCAGGGTGAAAGCTATTCTGTTTATGTTAATTTTACAATAGTGTGCAGTTAAACTATGCCTGTCTTTTGAAAACAAAATTCTTCATAGTGGAGATCCTGAGATTATGTAAGTAATCAGCGTAGTCACCTGCACTGAAGAACACCATGAAGCCCAAGGAAATAAAGAACTGCATTCTTTCCAAGGATGTTTCATGCCTCTACAGCAGATCATTGAATGACAGACTCAATGATATGTATATATATATATATATCACTGTGGTGAAATTCTGCTCATATATGTTTTCCTCTCTTTTAGGATGTCCTGGCTTTAAATTCAGTTGATACTATACAATAAGTCTGACAAAATTTCATTATATTAGAAATGTGGAAAATGTTCATTACACAGCATATTATTTTCCAATCTTCTGTAACAGATGCAGAGGGAAAAGCTAATATAAGTATGCTTTTTAATGCCCTAATAGCTCTCTTACTTTACAAGTGAATTTAAAGCAAAGCTCTAAAAATACAAGCTTTTACAAAATAATCTAGCATTTTTGTTGTCTTTCTTCTCTTTTAGGGTGATTATTTCTCTTTTGTACTTCTACCATCTATAGAACTAATGATTTTTTCTTGCATACCTGCCCCCCCCCCCCAAAAAAAAAGGGAACAAGGAAAAATGAGGGGGGCGGTGCTGTGGCATAGCTGGTAAAAACACTGTCTGCAGCACCGGCATCTCAAATGGGTACTGGTTTGTGTCTTGCCTGCTCTATTTCCAGTTTAACTCCCTGCTAATGCGCCTGGGAAAGCAGTGCAGGATGGTCCAAGTCCTTGACCTTACACCCATGTGGATGAAGCTTCTAGTTCCAGGCTTTGAACTGGCCCAGCTCCAGCCATTGTGGCTATTTGGAGAGTGAACCAGCAGATGGAAGACTTCTCTCTCAGTCTCTCCCCTTCTAACTCTGCCTTTCAAATAAATAAATAAATCTTAAAAAAAAAGGAAAAAAGTGGTAGCCTGTGGTTACAGGTATATCTTAAATATGTCTGAAGTGTGGTATGGAATAAGACAATATTTTTTTCTGCCTTAATATTCTGAAGATTGTCTTCCTAGTGTGTTTGTACTTTTCCCCATCCAGGAAATATAAGTATTATCCCTGTCAACTTCCTTCATTTCATATTGACACTTCTCCAGGTTTCTACCAACAACAAGGAGCTGCTAGTATATTATTATTATTATTATTAATATGATTAGCTTAATCATAACACACAGAGGAAATATTTTTAAATAGATACTTGGTTTGATTGTGCCAAGCTGCTTCTATTAACTGAAGTGGTTGAAAAAACAACTTTTTATTTTAGAGAAAAAGAAACTATTCAATCCTGTTGTTAAATTCAAATGATTAGTCATTTTTCTCACTAGTAAATCATGGAAAAAATGTTAATTCATTTCTCATGCAGCTAGCTGGTTTACCTGCGTGTCTTGTGGAAAGGTCACCGTGGCTGTTAAATATATTCAGTATATTTGTCTACCAATTGTGTTACTATTGGCAAGTAAATCCAAGCTAAAAAGTAAACATTCTTCTGAAAAATCACATTTAAAAAACTTGGACATTAAATAATGAAAAGACAAAAACATGGTGAAATAGAAGCTTCATGGGAAAATGAAAATAGCCACTTAACCCAAAAAGTAGGTATTTTTGAAAACTTAAAAGTATAATCTGAACATTTTTCTAACTTCAGATAAGAACTGAAATACTGCAAAATTAAATAACTAAAAGAGTACAAAAAACATTAAGGAAGATTAGAGAGACATGTAAAAGTTAGAATAAATCAAGTACACAATAAATGATGAAATTATCAACGAGAAATTCCTAGCAGTAACAAGTGGTGTTAAAAATACACCTATGCAGGGGCCGGCGCTGTGGCACAGCGGGTTAAGGCTCCGGCCTGCGGTGCCAGTGTCCCATATGCATGCTCGTTCTGACTGCTCCTCTTCCTATCCAGCTCTCTGCCTGGGAAAGCAGTAGAAGATGGTCCTAGTCCTTGGGCCCCTGCACCCATGTGGGAGACCCGGAGGAAATTCCTGGCTTCGGATCAGCCCAGCTCTGGCCACTGCGGTCATTTGGGGAGTGATCTAAGCAGATGGAAGACTTCTCTCTCTCTCTCTCTCTCTCTCTCTCTCTGGATCTACCATTCTCTGCAACTCTGTCTTTCAAATAAATAAAATAAATATTAAAAAAATATACCTATGGGGGCTGGCGCAGTGACACAGTGGGTAATGCTGCCACCTGTGGTGCCAGCATCCCATATAAGCACTGTTTCAAGTCCTGCTTGCTCCACTTCCAATCCAGCTCTCTGCTAGTGATCCCAGGAAAGCAGCAGAAGATGGTCCAAGTCCCTGGGCCCTTGCATCCATGTGGGAGACTTGGGAGAGGCTCCTGGTTCCTGGCTTTGGATCAGACTAGCTCTGACCTTTGTGGCCATTTGGGGAGCGAACCAGTGGATGGAAGATCTTTCTCTCTCTCTACCTCTGCCTCTCTGTAATTCTGTCTTTTGAATAAATAAATAAATCTTTTTAAAAAATACATCTATCTCCAATAACCACTTACATGTGTGAAAATACATAAAAGTAACAAATTTAGCCCCCTTCAACTAAAAAAAATGAGTTTTCTTAGCATTCACTTTAAATTTTAATAGCATATTCCTTAGTCTGAAAAAGTCTAAATATGAGAATATAATAATTCAAAATGACAGCTGCATCTATCATGGGTATATTTACTTTTAATTCTTTGTTCATAAAATAGTATAAAAGCGGCTATCATTGTATTATAGCGAATTACCAATTCAAGAAAAATGCAGAAATAAAAGCTAATATTCTTTTCTTTTACTGTTTCTATATTTTGATCTTATATTGGTAAAATTTGTATGGGAAGACAATTGGGAATTTCAACACTTATGGATAAACTGATCAAACATAAGAATATTATTTTAGGATTGTATTTTATTATTCAATTAAGCATGAAACAGTATAATTTGACCCACCATGGTATGCAATTAGGTATAATGTAGACTTATGATGGATTCCATCCAAAGCAGTTTATATACTGAAGGACCTTGTCATAACATTCAGTTTTTATTTCTAAATAGTCCTTGTGATATAAAATTCTCTTTCCATATATTCAATGAGATTCCAACATGAAAGAAACATTTGCAATAGGTTGTTACTCTTGATGAGCAAATCTACAATAGATTTTTGG